ATCATAAAATTAAAGACAATAATATTTTAAAAGTTAAATAACAATGATATTATCTATCAGGCCAATTGTATTCCAATAACAATAAAATATTACATTTACTTATTTTTATTACAAACATAATAATTATTAAATTACAGTTTTCTTATTTGATAATACATTTAAAAATTATACTCGAGTAATAATATAAAGTCTGGTTTACAATCGATCCAAAAAGTAATTATTTTGGCCACTATTTTTACATATAGTAAATGCATTAATGTTAATTTACAGCTTATTTATATGTCGAGAGAGAGAGAGAGAGAGAGAGAGAGAGAGAGATAAGAGAGGGATAGAGGGAGGTTAGGGGACACAAAGAGAGTGATAGAGAGAGGTTAGGGGAGAGAGTCAAAGCGAGAGAGAGAGAGTTAAATATATTATTTGCATAAATAAGTTAGTCATATAAACTGTAAATATTAATTCACTCACTTGATACAACCCATTCTTCGTCGGTATCGGTAAATAATTTGCGCAAACTTTTGGCACAATTATCCGTAACGTTAACTTCACGTATACTTTGATCCAAAAGTGGCGCATATTTATCGCCCAAATAAGCTAATGATGTAAAAAATTGACCAAGTGTTTTGATCCACTTTTGATTTACCTCATCGTTACTATCAATACATTTAATACAATTGTTATATAATAAGTTTACAATTAAAAGTTTTACTAATAATTTTATTAACATTTTTATTATATATATAATAAAATTAGTTTTAATTTACAAGTAAACTATTATTTTGATATACTATTCACTATAAAAGGCTATTCATAATGTGTTTGCCTTTAATTATAATAAATATTTATTTGTAATATATTTCCGCATATATTTGCGGTTAAAATATTTTGTGTGTATTTTTTGTTTTAATAATTGTAAAACATTTATAAATATATTTCCCAAAATATGCGGTGTTTTCACAAATCGATTAGATTTAAGACATTGAAAATATTTTAAACATATAATACATTATTTAAAATAATATTAATATCAGATAAATATTTCATTATAATTTTAATAAAATAAAAGTATATTTTTAAACACATTAATATTTATAAATGCATATAATTAAACAAATTAAATAATTATAAATAATATAGACACAACAAATATAGTCTACATGTAAGTTTATATAAACTTGTTACCAGTATGTTTTACCAGTTATTTAAAAAATTAGTTACAATAAAATATTGTAAAACAAACTGAAAATTAAACATCGGTCTCAATTGCCTGTTTTTTGGGTTTACCTTTTGATCTTGATGAGTTTCTGTATTGTTTTTCAACCTGACTTATAACCGGTACGCTATTCCCGGTGCTATTATTTTCAGTTAACCCGCTAGACGAATGGGAATAGTGTATCTCAATATCACTTATTATTGGTACAGTATTCCCGGCGCTGTTATTAGCGGTCAAACCACTGCTTGAACTCGTGTAGTGTTTTTCAATACTACTTATAATCGGTACGGCATTCCCAGAGCTGTTACTATCGGTCAGTCCACTTGACGAATGGGAATAGTGTTTCTCGATTTTGCTAATAATTGGGACAGAATTCCCGGCGCTGTTGTTATCTGTCAAACCACCGCTTGATGTCGAATAGTGTTGCTGTGCTTTACTTATAATGGGAACGGGATTTCCAATACTATTCTTGTCGGTCAGACCACTAGACGAGTGTGAATAGTGTTTCTCAATTTGGCTTAAAATAGGTACGGAATTCCCGGCGCTGTTATTATCGGTCAAACCACTCGACGAATTAGAGTAGTGTTGCTGTGCTTTACTTATAATAGGAACGGGATTTCCAATACTATTCTTGTCGGTCAAACCACTAGACGAGTGTGAGTAGTGTTTCTCAATAGTGCTTAAAATAGGTACGGAATTCCCGGCGCTGTTATTATCAGTCAAACCACTCGACGAATTAGAGTAGTGTTGCTGTGCTTTACTTATAATAGGAACGGGATTTCCAATACTATTCTTGTCGGTCAAACCACTCGACGAATTACTATAGTGTTCTTTTGCTTTGCTAATTAACGGCACTTCATTACCAGCGCTATTAGTAATACTCAACGATCGTGATGATTTTGAATAGTGATGTTTAACTTTGCTAATAACCGGGACATCATTACCAGTGCTGTTATTATCAGATAATGTTTTTGGCGAGTTTTCATAATGCTGTTTTACCTTGCTTATTAATGGTACTTCATTTCCAGCGCTATTATTAGCGCTAAGTGTGTGTGGTGAATTTTTATAATGTTGTTTCACTTTGCTTATCAATGGTACCTCATTTCCAGCGCTATTGCTCACGCTTAAAGATCGTGATGATTTTGAATAGTGTAACTTAGCCTTGCTAATTACGGGGATATCATTACCGGTGCTATTATTATCGGTCAATGTTTTGGGCGACTGTTTGTAATGATCTTTGACTTTACTTATAAACGGGACTGAATTCCCGGCACTATTCCTGCCATCGCTGAGCGATACCGAAGACTGGGAATAGTTTCTTCGGAAACTCGATAAGAAGGGAACCGAACTTTTTCGGACACTATTCTGGTTTTTGGTCAATGATTTTGATGACTGGGAGTAGTGTTCCTTTACTTTGCTTATTAGCGGCACTTCATTTCCAACACTATTGTTGGCGGCCAGTGCTCTAGGTGAATTAACATAGTGCTCTTTTACTTTACTTATTAAGGGTACCTCATTGCCAGCACTATTACTGATACTTAGTGATCGTGGTGATTTTGAGTAGTGTTGCTTCACCTTGCTAATTATCGGCACATCATTACCGGTGCTATTATTATCGGTTAAAGTTTTTGGTGACTGTTTGTAATGATCTTTAACTTTACTTATAAACGGGACTGAATTTCCTGCGCTATTACTCTCAGTAAGTGTGCGTGGTGAGTTTTCATAATGTCGTTTAACCTTGCTGATTATCGGTACTTCATTACCGGTGCTGTTATTATCAGTTAAAGTTTTTGGAGAGTTTTCATAGTGTTGTTTTACTTTACTTATTAAAGGCACCTCATTTCCGGCGCTATTACTATCGGTAAGTGTGCGTGGTGAATTATCATAATGCTGTTTTGCCTTGCTAATTATCGCAACTTCTTTACCAGCACTATTACTAGTACTCAATGAACGTGGCGATTTTGAGTAGTGATGCTTTACCTTGCTTATTATTGGTATCTCATTACCAGCATTATTGTCATCAGTTAATGAACTTGGTGAATTTTTATAGTATTCTCTGACTTCGCTAATTATTGGTATATGATTACCAACATTATTATCATCAGCAAACTTGCCTAGCGTAATTTTGTACGGCTGCTGGGCGCTGCAATTACCCTCATCACTTATATATCCGGATGACTGGTTATAGTGGTTAGAAATACTTGTATCTGGTGGGGATTGTGTATAATCGCCATGTTCAATTTTGGGCTCAACATACTCATCATATATATTCTCGGGTTCGCTAAAATCGTCATATTCATTTCTGACATCAATTTCAACTTTGTAATCCACCGGTGGCGGCGCAGGTGGTACTTTATTTTTCTTTGATTTAAACATTATCTATGTAATAATTATGAAATACGATTGATTATTTAAATACATAATACTTTATTTATTATACTTACCAATTGCAAACACAATAGCAGTTAACTGAACTAACAATTTTTAGAAGTATTAATCTAGCTTGTAATTATTCGTATTAGTTAATAATTAAAAGTTAATTCTAAAATTAAATGAAATTCATATATTTGTGTATTAAATCAAAAACACTTAAACAACGTATACGTGTTTTGTTATTGTTGTTATATACCCACACCTAACGATCTTATCAATTCATGTTGATAACAATGTGTATTTAACTATTGTTTTACCAAGTTCTTGATAATACAATTGTAATAATTGTTTATATGATTGACTTATATTTTTGGAAACTGTTTATTAAAAATGTAAATTTAATGTAATTTCTTTATTTTTAAATTAAAATATTTTATTAATTAGTTATTAAATTTTATAAATTATTTATGTCATCGCCGTTTTATTTCTTAAAATATATTATTTTAATTAAATAAATAATTAATAAATTAATTCATTTCTATTTCTATAAATATCTATAACTAAATTGTGGTTAAAATAATAGAATTTAAACAAAAACCAAAAGTTGTAATAATTCTAACTTTAATAATGTATATTCATTTTGTTTTACATTGTGTTTTAATACTGCCTTTTAATGGAAAATTGCATAAAACTTTATTTTACATATTGAGGCATTTATTGCAATACAATTTTATAAAATATAAATGTATAAATAAAGTACTGTATAATTAATCTAAAATTATATTCTTATTACATTTAAATTGCAAAATAATGTATACTATAAACATGTACATCAACCATTATTAAATTTTTGATCTTATTATTTACTAAATTTTAACTAATTAGACATTTTATGTTTTCATTAATTAAATAAATCCAATAATTCAGTACACATATACCCAACGATATTTTAATATAACAAGCAAAATAAATATACGGTCACTTGAACTTAAATAGTATACCTTTTAGTTTATGTGCAATTTGGGTATAAAATGTATTTAATTAATTTTGGTTAAACAGCAAACATGCACTGATTGTTACTTTCCAGGTAATATACCAGGTAATAAACATGATCAAACAAAGTGACTGTCAAAATACCATTAGTACTATTGCATCATAGTTATTGTTAATATGCAAACATAATTTTTATATTTAAATCCATCCCAAAATTTTACAGACTTGTATAAAACAAATATCCAAATTAAATAATTAGAAATGTGTTTAAATATTATCACAATCAAAATATATATTATTTCGCAGAAATTACCATTATAATTATAAAATAATTATAAATATTTACAATTGTATTTTTATAAATACAGTGCATTTGATTCGTTAACAATATAATTTGTCTTAACAAGTAACTTTAAAACAAACTATGTTAAAAGCAATTACTTTGTCCGTTGTAATTCTACTGATCTGTGGTGGTCTGGTATCAGCCAATTACGACCCTGATGATGATGCATTTGTGAAGCTATTTTGCGACCCTGGTAAAACAGACGCCTCTATTATTGGTAAAATAATTGACTGCGAAAATAATTACAAAAAAGTCCTATCGGCAGATCTGAACGCCCTCCGCAATAAGGTAAAATTAATCTACAATTTTAATTAATAACTTAATGATATACATTTGAATTGCCTGGAGTAATATTTATCAATATTGTTGTAATTACTAAATTAAGTTTATTTGTTCTAGCTTGATAAGATTAGTCACGAGAAATGCCTAAAAAAGGCTGGTGATGTGAGCGCGTTTAAAAAAGTAGACTTGACCAAAACCGAGTATAAGACCATATTGATTGAGAGGTGCGATGAGGGTTACGATAAATGCGTTTTGGACTTGATCAAAAATAATACAAAATTCCACCAGGATGTTCAAACAGCGTTAAAGCAGCGAAACCAACAGGAATTTAAAAAATTACTGGTATTATCCTGCACATAATCTAGATTTATGTAATTTAACTTGTTTTGTGTTTTGAATAGAAATGCGAAACTGATGTGGTTAAGAAATAATCAGCCCAAAATCACCTTGTATTTTGATGTTGATTATATTTGGCCTATCACAATATTTAGTGTATGTTTATTGCAGTATAATATAATAAATATTTTATTTGATCATTTAATGTTAAAAATTATCATTATTTTCTATTTATAAATATTTGCAGATGCTTTACATTTCATTGAACTGATTTTTAATTAATAAACAATTTTGTTTGTGTTTTAACCTCCGATTATTTTGTAAACATTAAATATTTATAGTTTAATACTTATAGACGAGTCTTGTCTAGTTTGTTAAGTTATAAGTGTGATAGTACTAATTTATGTTGGTTAAAAATCACACGTGTTCAACTTATATTAAACAAACATTAATGTTTTTTTCAATAAATTCTGAGATTTAGGCAAAATGAGAAATTTTTAATAATACAACAAATTTAATTTTTATATTTCTTCTAAAAAGCTCATTAATGCCAACATAAATATTAATTTATATTTCTTTGGGAGATCTACAAAATCAATGTAATTGCTTAATCTTATTGGAAATCTATTAAAGTCATTGTAAATATAATTAAATTTTTAATGATATGTGATTATAATTTGTCAACTAAAAACATGTACGATTTTAAAATGTACAGTACATTATATAACATATTTCTAAAAATTTTTAATTAATATTAGAAATTTATTAGGATTAGAATATAATGTATCAAGTAGTATTTAAATTATTGGAACTTTATTTGTAAAGTTTTTTTGTGTATCCAAATGTTTATGTTAGATAGTAGTTCTTCTAATAAATGTAAATGCTAAAATAAAGAAAAAGTCAATTTTATCGTTAAATAAAATTAAAACAAAATTAATACGAACCAGTTTTATTTGGATTTAACAAATTATTGCTTGTTTAGTGTTATTTACTTGCTTTGTATTTATATAGAAGTCATGTATATATTTAATGCTTTTATGAATTAAGTATTTATTGCAATATCTCTTTTAATATGGATTGGCAACTATTAAAAATTGTATTAAAATAATAAATTAATAATGTTGTGTTCTAATTAATAATTTATAAATGTAAATATTGTTTATAATTATGATGAGTTACAATTCAATAAATGTGAATTCATATCAAAATATTTATGCAAAAAGTCAAACAAAATGGTTTATTATAAAAGAATTTTTTGCAGAATTTGTCGGCACTTTTATAATGAATGTAAGTATTGATACATGTAATATAATATGACATTTATTAATAATAAATTTATAAATGTAAATAAAAACTTAATCCATAATTTACCTAGCTAATGATAACGGGTTCTGTGGCCTCGTCTACATTAAAAGCTAGCAATTCCGAGAATCAATTATTTGGTAACAGTATTGGCGCAGCGGTTGGCGTATTGTTGGGCTCTTTAGTTAGTCTATCAATATCTGGTGAGTAGTGTTGCCACATGTTATATAAAATTTTAAGTAGAATAATTAAATATGCTGTATCTATAATTTATTTAGGGGCACATCTGAACCCAATAGTGACCATAACACTGGCCATCATTCAAAGATTTAATCCAAAGAAAATCATTTGTTATTTATTAGCACAATATTTGGGCGCATTTAGCGCCACAGCACTTGTATTTGCCAATTATCGCAACGCTATCAACGCGTTTGACGCCGGGATTAGATCGGGTTTTGGCCACAAAACAAGTACAGGACTTATATTTACAACATTTCCCGATTCAAGTGCCGATACTTTTGGCGTTTTCTTAGACCAGGTTTAGATTATTATTATAATTATACTAATTATTAATTAAATAATAATATTTTTAATTATATTAATAGATTATATGCGCATCAATACTAATGATAGCAGTGTTGGTCACAATGGACGAGACAAACGTACAAATACCCAAATATTTAATACCAGTGTTTATTAGCATGATCATTTGCGGTGTGATTATATCGTTTGGTTTTAATTGTGGTGCGGCACTAAACCCAGCCCGAGATGTATCGGCCCGTCTATTCCTATTGCTTATGGGTTATCATAACGATAGCCCATTCGCGCCCCTTAATGGCCTGTATTGGCTCATCGGTGGCATTATTGGCCCCCATTTTGGTGCTATCGTTGGCTCTTATATTTATATTATGTTTATTGAAAGACAAAAACAATTAAACAATGAAAATGTATTACTATTAAATAAAACGTGATCGATTTAAATAGTTTAACTATACTGTATCTATTTTATTTCTCAATGAAAGTCTTGCTTTAATTAATTATAGACTGTAATTTACAGATAAACTTAATTTTTGTATTTACCCATGTTGTTATTCATGATGATTGGCAATCCCCATTCCCGGAGACTACTACACTTATATAAAGTTTTAGTTTTTATTTTTAGAAATTATTTGTTATAACCATTTTACCCATATAAAGCAAAATATTATATATATGATTTAAGTTTCATTTTGCGTAAATATATTATTAATTTTAACAACTAATAATAATTATCAATAGGTGTAATTTTAAATAGACAATTATTTTTTTTATAGATCATGTGCATACTATTATTTATCACAAACTATTATTTATTTTACAAGTATCAAAATTTACTAAATAAGCAAAATAACTGTAACATTATGATAAATTGTTAAATAAATCTAATTCAATTGAATTATTAAATACAAAAATTTTAACAATTGATCATTTATTATGATTAAAAATTTTATAATAAATTTTAAGAAATGTAAGTGCGTTAAAATTGTTAATTAATTTACAGTTAATTTTTAATAATTTTCAAATTTTCTGATATATTTAAACAGCATAAATAGATTCAATGAATTTCATTATGAAAACACAATCTGCAACAAATACTGTATTTAAATTGAAAAAGAAATTTATTTTAAACAATCGTAAAATATATAGAAATTGTTTTTATATAAAATCCATGTAGATTAATTAGTCTCAATACAAGACTTATTTGTTAAATATTGAAAATATTAACTACCAATAAATTAAAAATACAATACATATAATGTTAAAAGCGATAATTTTGTGCTTGATAATTTTAATGATTTATGGTTGCGACCACTTAGTAATATGCCATGGTGGTGAAGGTGAGTTTGAAAAGATATTCTGTAACCCGGATAAAACGGATTCGATCATGGTGACCAAGGTTATTGAATGCCATGATAAACATGAGAAATCACAATCGGCCGAACTAAAAGCCCTTGATAAAAAAGTATGTATTTAAATTACTTATAATTATTACTCATGATCTTGCTATTATAATTTATGTAGATTGAAAAGGCTTGTTTAAAGCAATGCAGTGGAAAGTCGGGTGATATGAGTGCCTATAAAAAGGTAGATTTGACCAAGGTGGATTTAAAGGATATGCTTATTGAAGAATGCGACCCTGGTTACTATAAATGTATAAACAAACTTCTGGAGTCTGATGCTAATTTGATGGCAGATGTGAAAAAGGCTGATAAACTCAAAGATAAAAAGAATGATGATGTTTTTGATGTATTTTATATTTAATTATCATTACATTAATCAATTAATAATTACCAAGAAAGTAATCAAAATTTATTTATTGTAGAAATGCACCATGGACGCTGTCAAGAAATAGGTCATTTTTGCTTTTACTGTATTGTAAAGTTACAATTATTTTACATTTGCATGTTTGTAAATAATCATGGTAATTAATAATAAATACGATTTAAAATTGTTTTTTTATTTAATTGTTTTAATATAATAACAATAATACATTAAAATCAAAAATAATTTAATTTGTAATTAAACCTTAAAGAGAAAGTTTACACAAATGTTATTTAATGAATGCTAATTAATAAAAAGTTAATTAATATAATTATTGTTATCTGTATTATTATATTAATTATTTAGATAGAATTTAAATCATTAATATATTTTTTCTTTGATTTTAAAATAATTAATAAATAATTTGTTAAATGTGAATAAACATAATAATAATAAAATATATACAGAACTGCCTATTTGACATTTATTTTTAACATTCATTTTAAAATACTTGTTTTAATATATTCCTGCACCAATTTATTACAAAACAAAATTAGCAACTATGTTAAAAACAATAAATGTGTGCTTGATAATTTTCCTAATTTGTGTCGACCAAAGTACAGTATTGGCTACCGATGCCGAAGATGCTAAATTTGAAAAGTTATTTTGTAATGCAGATAAAACAGATTCAGCTAAAGTGATCATGGTCAATGAATGCGAAGACAAATACAGAAGTACCATGACAGCCGAAGCTAAAGCTCTTGCTATTAAAGTAGGTTATTTAAATATTCATTCTAATTATTAAAGCTTGATTATTTTTGGATCATATTTATTGCAATTATTTTAATATAATATTGATTGTATATTACTAGATTGAGCAGGTTTTTCATAAGAATTGTTTGGGAAAAGTCGGTGACATGAGCAAGTTCACAAAGGTTGACCTAACCAAAGCAGAATTAAAGAATAGATTAATTGATGAATGTGACAAACGCTACTTTAAATGTATGACACTCACTAATACAATATGGCTGACGTTGTGTGTATTGAGAAAAAATATTTTCAAAAATTATTATCTAAACAAAAGACTTATTTAAATAATTTAAAAAATACGCGAACAGTAATTGGGAAAACTGTAGCCGAGAAATGGATCAACGATTTAGTAAATTGTGTTTTGAATGGCATTCAAAGTGACCCAAATGTCTCAATCACAGCAACGCCCACAACAACGCCTTCCACTTCAAGCCATAACATCAGTGTTAGTGCACTAAACGCGACTCAAACTCAACACTCATCTCAAACTCAGAATATTCTGGATTCTGAAGAATTGGATCAAATAGAAGACACCGAAGAGAAGACAATAGAAAACAGAGTGGAAAACATTGAAAAATTGTTACAAACTCTTATTAGTGAGAAAAACACAACCAAACGTTATGTCAAACATAAGGCCAATTACCAGAACAGGTCCACAACTCACCACAACAGGTCGACAGCTCACCAAAACAGGTCTACAAAAAAGTGTTGGACATGTGATAGGACTGGACATCTCTCTCACCAATGTTACCACAATCCAAAATCACAAAACTACAGGCCATTCACCAAACGGTTCAGGAATTCAAATGGTTTTTCGCCAGAAAATGACCGAAGAAATGACAGACATTCACGAAATACGGACCATTTTTTAGGCGATCGAAACCAACAGTACATAATGATCCCAAATACAGGTCAGAGGTATGTGCCGACAATTCCGGTACACGTGTCTCAGCCAACACCACAACTACAACCAATACAACAATTCATGCAATAAGTGATTATTTATCAATATTTTTTGCAAACGTTAGAAGTCTTGTAAAAAAGGTTAATGATTTACAATCAATGGTTAGTCAATACAATTATGACATAATAATTATAAACGAGAGTTGGCTTAACAATAATATTCCAGATAAAAGTATTTTAGAAAATTATAATTTTTATCGTAGAGACAGAGACGGCATAGGAGGGGGTGTTTTCATAGCAGTTAAAAATTGTTACAAAACTTCACAAAAATTCATTGAATCTAATTTTGAGGATATTTTTGTAGAGATTTTTGTTAAAAATAAAAAACTATTAATTAGTACATTATATAGACCTCCAGATATTGATATAGATTTTAATCAGTATTTATTTTCCCGTTTTAATAACATTGACATAAATTTTTACGACATAATATGTATTTGTGGTGACTTTAATGTAAACTTTAAAAAATCTAATAATATTATGACAAACAATGCAAACGAATTGAATCAAAACTTTTTATTATATGGATTTCAACAGTTAGTGAGTGAACCAACTCATCCAGCAGTAAATCCAAAATCAATATTAGACTTATGTTTAGTAAATAATATTGAATTAATTAATGATTTACAAGTTTGTCAGAATATTAATCAAAATTGTGATCATAAGGCTTTTATGTGCAAATTGAACATTACATCGACTAATCAAAAATCAAGTTTTATAACAAAATTAGATTTAAATGAAAATAATTTAAAACTTTTAAATGACAAATTATTTGAAACTGATTGGTTTGAATTGACTAATAATATTAATAATATTGATTCAATTTATGATACATTATGTGCAAAATATACTGAAATTTTTGACTCTATTATCACAACAAAAACTATTGAAATTAAACCGAAAAAACAATTTAATAAAGAAATCAATGATTTAATTAAAAGTAGGCGTAAATTAACAAAATATGAGTCAAAAACAACAGGTTTTTTAGAAAAACATAATTTTCTGACACAAAGAATAGGTTTAAAAATAGAAAAATATGAAACAAATAAAATGCAGACATTAATAGATAAATCGCCAAACTTTTCAGCTCTTTATAAAAACATTAAACAAATGAACAAAACATCTAATAATCAGTGCTTTACAGATAGTTATGGAAATTCAATAACAGATAATCAATTGATAGCAAATAAATTTAAGGATATTTTTCAATCAACATTTAATGATAATTTAATTCCTATTAATGCAAACATTAATGTAAATTGTAATGAAAAATTAGATCTCTTAGAAATCACAATGAATGACATAATGATAGCTCTTAAGAAATTTAATTTTAACAAATCAGAGGGTTTATCAGTAATAAAAAACAGAGTAATTAAGGACTGTCTTAATGGGAGCACAAAATTATTGTACTGTTTGTATAACAAAATCATTGAATTTAAAGAAATACCTAATGAAATGAAAAAATCAGTCGCGAGTCCTGTGCTTAAGAGTAATAAAAATAGACATTCATTTGAGTCTTACAGATGTATTTCAGTGCAAACAAACATATATCGTATTTTTGAATCAATATTATTGAATAAATTATTGCCATATTTAGAGTCAAATGAAATTATCCCGAAATGTCAATACGGGTATAGAAGTGGCAAAGGTATACATAATCTACACATAGATTTACAACATGTTATTTACAATGCATTTAATGATAATATTATAGGAATTGATTTGATTTTTCTTGATTTAAGCGATGCCTTCAATTCAATTTCACATCAAATACTATTGAAAAAATTGGAAATGTATGGCATTTGTGGAACATTTTTAGATATTTTATCAAATAGTTTTTTAAATAGGAAACAAATTGTGAAATTTAATAATTGTTTTTCAGGTGAAATATTAGTTAAGTCCGGAGTATTACAAGGGGGTGGGCCCAGCCCTACCCTATTCAATGTATACATGGCTGATATAATAGACTACATTAATAGTTATATAATACAATTTGCTGACGATTTGGTGATTTTGAAAGTAATTAAAAATATTACAGATTGTGAGGAATTACAAAATGATTTACATATGATTTCTAACTATTGTGAGAATAATTCACTCAAATTAAATGCAAAGAAATGTGTTTATATGAGGATTAGCCTAAAGACATGTGATTTATTTCAGTATAAAATTAACAATATTTGTCTCGAAAATGTTTCTTCTCATAAACATATCGGTGTTTTTTATGACTCAAAGCTTATATTTAATGACCACTTAAACATGATTTGCGAAAAAGCAATCAAAAAATTTTATACATTGAAATTTGTTTGCAAACGAGTCGATGGGAAAACACTTTTAAAATTATATCAAACTTATATTATGCCTATTCTTGAGTACAGTAATCTTTGTTTGACATACAATTCAACACAAATTAAACAATTGGAAAAAATACAGAAAAAGATAACTAAATTTATTTGCTATAAAATGAAAAAATTTAATATTAATTATAAAAATAGATTAGAATTCTTAGGAATAGATTCACTCGAAAAGAGGAGAAATATTCAGATTTTGAAACTATTTTTTAAAATAAAAGAGAAATTTCTTGAAATACCAAATGAATGGTTAAATTGTGTTGAATTCGTTGAAACCACAAGACATGGAGTTTTTTGTAAAATACCAATGAATCGTATAAATAAATCTGATAAACATTTGTTTAATTTCTCTGTAAAACTTTTTAATGATTTACCACTAAATGTAAGAAATGAATGTAATTTTACAAAATTTTTAAATTTAATTAATGATTATTTTAAAGATGTATAAATAAATCTGATAAACATTTGTTTAATTTCTCTGTAAAACTTTTTAATGATTTACCACTAAATGTAAGAAATGAATGTAATTTTACAAAATTTTTAAATTTAATTAATGATTATTTTAAAGAAATTTGATGTAACTTTCAATGACATGTTCTTTGAATAAAACTTATTATTATTATTATACTGTATTAAAACAGTTTATTTTTAGTTGAGCATTGTTCTTTTATTAGTTTGTTGATGCAGTTAGCGTTGACAGAAAAATTTTCTCAAATCCTGAAGTTTAGTTATTTTTTACACAAATTTCCTGGAGATTCCTGGAGATTCCAAAATAACATTGGCAGTCATCCTACCACCTTCCACCAGTACATTATCACCGGTTACAAACTGTGCATGGTCACTGGTAAGGAATAGTATGGTATTGGCCACATCATTGATACATATTTATATATACTGTAAATAATTTCAATATTTAAACATTTGAATATTGTGCGTTTAATAAATTAAAAATGATTTATTTAAAAAAACTTCATTAAAAAGTATTTTTAATTAAAATTTACAAATACATCTGTTTTATTTGATTTTATTAAATAACATCTTATATAAATGTCTGTTATATACGACTTCACGGGTAAAGTAGTGTTGATAACGGGCTCGAGTTCGGGCATCGGTGCGGCCACTGCTGTCCAATTCGCCAAAGCCGGCGCCCAAGTAGTGGTCACCGGACCTCCTGATCGTCTACCCATAGATACGGCCAAAGAGTGTCTGAAAGTATCGCCGAAAGGGTTGAAAGCACTGGAAGTGACGGCAGATGTGACCAAACGGGAAGACATGCGACGACTCGTCGACCAGACTATTAAACATTTCGGTAAACTTGATATTCTCGTCAATAACGCCGGCGCAGGACTTAATGCCAGACCAACTGATGAGGACTTTTACGAGAAATACGAGAAAGTGATGGCAATTAATCTCAATTCTGTCGTCTATTTAACGCATATTTGTGTCGAGAATTTGGAGAAAACTAAAGGAAATATTATTAATATTTCGAGTATTGGCGGAAAGAGAGCCGTAAGTATAAAAATACAAATCAAATAGTTTGGTTGAAGTTAACTAATTATATTAACCCTTTATAAACTTAATTATTTTTTAACTACAGCATTTAGATTTTGCCCCGTATTGTATGGCAAAGTGTGCGGTGAATATGTTCACTAAATGTATGGCAGCCGAGTTGGGCCCTAAGCGCATCCGGGTTAATGCAATTAGG